AGTGTCCCACAAGAGTGCCCTACAAGAGTGTCCCACAAGAGTGTCCCACAAGAGTGTCCCACAAGAGTTTCCTGCAAGAGTGTCCCACAAGAGTGTCCCGCAAGAGTGTCCCACAAGAGTGCCCCGTAAGAGTGTCCCACAAGAGTTTCCTACAAGAGTGTCCCACAAGAGTGTCCCACAAGAGTGTCCCACAAGAGTTTCCTACAAGAGTGTCCCACAAGAGTGTCCCGCAAGAGTGTCCCACAAGAGTGTCCCACAAGAGTGTCCCGTAAGAGTGTCCCACAAGAGTGTCCCACAAGAGTGTCCCACAAGAGTTTCCCGCAAGAGTGTCCCACAAGAGTGTCCTACAAGAGTGTCCTACAAGAGTGTCATTTGGACATATGTAGCTTTTTGAACGTGTTTGCATTCGGGTTCGTGGGCTCCATCTTGTTTCTTTAAAGGGCACTTCTGGTCTTCGTCTGGTTTTCGGTGATATCACTTTGCTCACCAGATATCACTTTGGGTGATATCAGGAGGTTTTTGTGGGAGCCAGTCACTTTCTACACAATATGTAGGGCAAGGAAGTGGTCGAGCTGGTGAGGGCAGACACGTCAGGTTTTGATTTGTTCATTTGACACGTCAGGTCTCTTACTTGTAGAGGGCGATCCCTGCACATAGAGAATCGATTCCCAAACCCAATTTGGGGTGTCTTGAACTAATCCTGGTGACCCAGCCAGATGTTTTGCGGACACATAAACATCATAAAACGTAGTCAACCCATGTGTGCGCAGGAGGGTGAAACCCAATGCCATTCATCCTACAGACTCATTTTTACTCGATCCACTTGGCTGCTCGATGTCCGCTTGGCTGCTCGCCTGAGGCGCCTATCGCATGTTGCCTCCGGCGAGCTGGGGACTTCATTTTCCAAGCAGGGGCACCTGAGAAAATTGGATAATTAGATCGGATGGATATGCATGGCAGCCCATGGCATGTAAATCACTACCTGGTGCATGACGATTATCAATGCCTTGATGATGGACAACAGTCAATGTCAGGTCACATGTTCACATGTGGAAACAAGACATGACATCATGCATGCAGCTGGACGAAAACAACATGTGATTGATGTTTTCTTGACGTGATGCGAGGATGACCATGTGGTCGGCTGTGGTTCTTCGCTTGATGTACTGTAGATCTGATCTGCCGCTTTTTCGCTGAAGAGAATCCAGAGTAACTATGAAAACGGCCCACGTTTGAAGGTGGTCCAGGATCTCCAGGGCCTCCTTCCTTGCTAGGCTGTAGATAGGCAACCGCCCGGCTGGGCGCTTGCCTGTTGCTGGTGAACCACCCAAATCCACGGCCAATCCTCAGTACAACCCTCCCCCGCTTTGGGGTTTTATCCGTAAGGGTCTTGCAGTTTCTGTTCCAACACCAATATATCCATACCTTCTCCAGAACGATTCACTCTGAAGAATGAGGAAGGCCATCTTCCCAAGCCAACGTCTCCATCGGCTCCAGCAGTCATCAGATATAGTTTTAAGACAAGAATAGTAGTAATGTATTTAGTCAATGTAGTCAAACGATACTCGTATGTAGTCACATGATATGTAGTAAGAATATAGCGTTATATAAGTTACATCATTTCTGAGTACATCTTACTACCATCAAGTCACGAGGCCATCACAGAATCTACAGTCTATATACATTTGACATGGCCACTGGTCAATAAACCAAACCGTCCCACATGCAACAGTTGGCCTGATAATCCATCTTGGTTCTTTGGGGGTTCAACTAGGATACATGACCCAGAGTTGTGGCTGTGTTGGGCTTCATACGTCTTTGACTGGCAAGGCTCTGATCTGCAGAAGGAGAGGGAGGCAGGAAAGATCAAAGCGGAGATGGAGAGTGCACCGTTAGGATGCTGTGTTATGGCCATGATTCTTCGCAAACAGCACTGACCCGAGGCTAAAAGCAGTGGTGCAATCCAAAGCAGATGGATAAGTCTTTTCTTGACATTATTAATTTTTCCTTGAGGGGCATGGGAGATCAGAGGCACCCAAACACAACATCTTTGATTCTGAAAGGTTGGCTGTTGCCTGGCACCAGCGTGGATTAACGACTCGTCCCAATCGATAGTGTTGGTGCTATATATATATATATATATGGTGCAGCAGTTCTAGAGGAGCAACCATATCCCTATATAGTTTAGAACTGACTGATTGTTGTTTGTAGCCTCTGTAGTTAGCCATCGCATTGAGATGTTGCAGCTGGCCTCCACCGATGAATCTTCCTGCAATTGTTCAAAGATGTCAGCTTTGGGGATGTCCCATCATGCAGAAAAAGACTACAACATCTATCCAAGTTCCAAGATATAATAGACTATGGACCACTGGGCTTTTTCAGCCGCCAGGAGCGGCGCCCCGAAAGCCGATGGAGTGAGGCACGGTTGGGGTGGCGGATGAGTGGTGGAGAATGGCCACCAGTTTGCCTTTGATGTTTGGAGAACGGCTGTTGCACTGCTCATGACCGGTCCACATAGTAGTTCATAAACGAAGAGATGTCAAAGAGATGTTGTTTGTTCCCATGGTGCCAAGCTGATTCGCCCCCACATCCTGGTGAATGGATGTTCTCAGCAGTGATCTCTCCATCCTTCACTCGTCAGGCAGACCAGCGTCGCCCCGGCGAGGCCGGGTGGTCACCGACCTCAAAAGACGGATGAACAACCCGGTTGGCCAAGTGACTGTGTTCCAGAAGCGAGATGCAGGTAAGAAACCCAACAACTCGACCAAGTATATAACCAAAACATACCAACACTAGTGGACCAAAAGCTCCACCACAACCCAGCCACAAAGACTTTGTGCCACATTTGCAGAACTAATTACGCTATGGCGAGGGGCACAGGTCCACAGACTGGGAACTCAAAAGACCCCTCTGCAGCGTTGCAGCCGTTGCAGCTGCAAGACTCATCAATCATTTCTGTTTTGTGAAGAAGGCGTTTCTGAACAGCAAACGACCGATCCAATACCCAGATTTGCACGGCCGACCTGATTTGTCTGTATGCCTCAAAACCTTTGGACACCAGACATCCATGAGTGTCTGCTGTAACTCTGGGCATCGCTGCAGTCACGGTCTTTGGAGACGTTGTTTTTCCTGAAATGGCCATTTAGAGAGTGGGTTTCATCCAAGAACTCTAGACCCTTTGCAGTCGAGAAACATATCTCAAGTCCCTCTTTGGAATCTGGGAGGCTGCCAGACTCTTCAAGGAGGATGGCGTCCGATGGAAATGGAGGGAAATGGGAGGGAATGCCGGTGTGGGATCGGCCCCAGGGGTCTGTCCGGACCAATTTCATGGTCGGACCATGACTTGGTCGGACCAAGGTGACAACTGTGGGCCCAACGAAGCGAACTCTTCTTCCGCATCGTCCGTCGCGCCTCTTTCAGCCCGCATTTGAAGCAGACACGGCGAAGGAGAGCAGAGTACGGCTTGTTGGATCGTTCCTTCCATGGCCAAGTAGAGCAAGAGAACACTATATAGTAAGTACGTGGTTCAACAAGGTGTGCAAAGACGAAACACTGTAGCCCTTTTTTCCTGCAAGAGACGGGGTTTTCTGCACAAAAACGATTACAGTATATAGACTGCCATCAGAATGATCCGAGGAGTTGCCTCGTCGGCCGGTGACGCGATGACAGGTTGGGGATGGGTGGGTCAAGAGGAGAAGGGAAGAGGATGACAGGAACTGAGATGATTCATGACACATTTTTCTTTTCAACAATTTACATTTAATGACTTCTCTCGTTTTTGTTGATGTTCCTTGATCACCCTGATTTTGTTTCGTTTTCGGGGCATAGCCTAGCGCATGGCTATGCGGCTATGCACAGCACATGTTTCGGCATCCGATGGTCTATGAGACGGTACCGACTGCGACTGCTGGGCCGTGGCAAATTCTGAAATTACATCCCACAAGACGATCCTCAAAGCCACACCTAGACGTACTGGAGTAACATTTCCGAGCGGCTATAAATGTTTTTCTGCACGACAACAACAAGACTGGCTTCTTCTCCTAATGATCCTAATGGCCCTTGGTCGGTTCATTCTCGTTGAAATACACAAACGTTCACCATCGGGGATGAGGGTGATGAGAGAGGTTTGAAGGAGACTTTTTTTCGAGGCCCATTCTTTCCTGCTCCAGACTTCAAACCGGAAGTCCATGCCACCCATGCGACAACTCCGGCTTCAATCGGTCTATGTCATCACATCTTACCCGTTGTTTGTGCTTTTCCTGCATCTGGTGCCATCCAACACGTCATCTGCCAGCGCGGACGAAGACGCGCCGTCTCCGTCCTCCCCCATCCGTCGACACTGGCCAGGCGAATTCGATCCCAGGCTCGTCCGCGAGGACGCAAGGTGCTCCGGTCCTCCGACCGCCTCGATGGAACAACCCAAAAAACGACCAGATGATCCGGTTTGGGCCACCGGTTATGGGACCCTCTGAAATGGTGATCCCCCAGAATGAGAGGAAAAAGACCAGAAAAGAACCCGAGTGTCCCGCCAATCCAGGCCTTGCAAAGAGAGGTTTCTTTTCGAGAGGGCGGGTTCCTGAGTGCAAGCATCAACCTGTGGTGCTTCTAAGTCTAATTTATGTAGCTAGTTTCACCTCAAGAAGAACAGTTTCTTTACTGCATACTCTAAAGTTGTCCCCGGTAGAACAGATTTCCAATACAACTTTTCCTTCTATTTCGAGTGCGTGAAGTTGAAAAACATGTGCAAGCTACTTAAAGCTGCGATGAATTGATGGAATCTGGTTTGCATCGAGCGGTCAGAATGAGTTCCCTGACCTGGGGACCTAGAATTGCAATGCAGATTGCCCGGAATGCGGAGCAAGGCCTACCAGGAGTTTTTGGAATAACAGGATGACTACATCCCACTAGTCATTGGCAAGTGTGGCAATGCTTTTTCCATGAAGGTTGTGATGTGGAGAGTGTTGCTCCCCTGATGTAAACCCTGAAAAGGGCCAGTGCCACTGAACGGCCAAGCTCAGAGATTTTGATTCGGGAGGGTGCTCACATGTACAGAGGCATGACTCAGGGTTCCTCTCCGTGCACGTGGGGCAGCTGTGGGAGAAGCGAGTAGTCGAGTAGTCCTGTCAAGGGCGCAGTGGTTGTCGTCCGCACGTTCGAAGGCAATAGACAAAGAACGCCACATTCCTATGCCTGAGAAGATGATGTCCTCTGCAAGAGGATGTTCTAAGTATTTCTGCTGGTGCACTTGAGACGTAGGACCCTTCATTAGGATATATATATATATACATATTCGGATTGTCAACATCTGGGGATTGCCAATCTCAAACGACTCTCTGCTCTCTGCTCAGCAGCTTCTCTACTTTGTCGCTGTTCAAGCACTCAAAGTGCTGGATCAGTGCTGGAAGTTCGGCGGCTCACCCCAGATGGTCAAAGTGTTTTTGCATTTTTAGCATGGGCAAGCTCCACAAGAGCCAAGAAGGCCAAGAAGGCACAGGCAAGCATATAGTTGGGACTCGTAGCCTCCTTTGACTTGAAGCCTTCTTGTCCTCAAAACTTCGGAATGTGTTTTGACTTCTGGAATGGTTCCAGAACTGTCTGGAGTGTGGACCTACAGTTGTTCTTTCTTGGATATGGCACATGAAGTGTGAACTTTACTATTTCTAATTCATTTCGTTGGGCGTATACACTGTACACAGCACTTTTGAAAACCAGCTCCATCCACATGGCCAAATCGGTCCAGACCGCACGATTCTTCCCCGATCGGATGTCATGCAGGAACACTGAAACACTGTCTAGAGGCAATGTGTGGATTCGCCAACTGCACTTGAGCTGTCCAAACGAAGAGGGGGCGAGGCCTCTGATGGGAGGCCTCTCTGATGGTCGGTATTTCCATCTACGCCGCTCCAATTTGCTTTCAGTCGCATTATAGTGATCCCCAAATAGATAAACACGGTTTCCAATACACTTTTAGTGGAGATCTACTGTTCTATCTTATTTGGAGACCACTAGGTTTTTCATTGTTTCCCAATAATTATCATTGATATAAGACGATGGATGTCACGACTGAAGAACAGAACCATGAGATCGGAGAAGGCTAGTGGACGGACAGGTTGAAAATGCATCTGTACAGGTAAATGACACACCCCAAATTCTGCCAGACCCGGCGAGCCTTCTCAAGATGTAGACTCTTGATCTTGATGAATATACTGTACCCCCCATATGAAGGTTTGCGCGGCTCACACCACCAGAGCTTGGGGAGAGCCGACGGAATCTGGAAATCGTCTCAACTTCGAGGCCGCGTTCCACGACTGGCGTTTGGTGATCACATCGGATTCCGATCTCAGTAACCTGCAAGACTGGCGGATAGGTTTCTGCACGAACAGCTGGAATACAAGTTCAGGGAGTCAGGGGATGCGAGAAGGTGTGATCCTCACCGTGGGACCGTGCTTTGAGCATATTTACATTCCACTGAGAACAACTCTTTTTTCTCTGTAGTGCATGTTTCGTGGATTTGTTGAGGTGCCAGGCTTTTGTGCACTTGGAACGCCCAACTTGTTGAGGGTTACCATGGATCCATATGGATGCCAAAGGAGCTTTCGCCATAAACAGATGGGTCGATCGGATCGGAACGCATTTTTTTAAAAGCGAGTTGGTCGGTCTTTGGAGGACTTAGAGAGGCCAACATCAGGTTTCTGGGAGATGATTGAACATGTTTCCACCATGTTTTGAACATGACTGGTTTTCAATGAAGTCCAGTTCTGACATGTTCTGACCAGTTGCAGCAGTGGGCTAGTGAAGCTGTGAAGAACGACCAACTCATAATTCCGAACTGCAGAGATGTTGCAGTCAGAAGTCAGAAAACGCCAGGTAGGTCCTAGGGGCCCATGGGAGCGGGCTAGATCCACTCGTGGATCCAACGAGAGACAAAGCAGAGCTACCAATGAGCTATCTCCAACTAGAGCCCTTAATTATACTGAAACTACTTTGCAAACCTGAGTCGGCCAAAATCGATTTGGCGCAGTTTGCTTGTCACGCCAACGCCATATTTTCGGCTGCGCCACATTTTTCGCATTTCTCGGCTACGCCGCATTTTCACTT